GCACATGCCCTGACACATGTATGTGCACTCACAGTCGTCGTCGTCGTCGTCGTCGTCGTCGTCGTCGTAGTAGTAGTAGTAGTAGTAGTAGTGGCAGTAGTAGCAGCAACCGCAGCAGCAGCAAAGGCAGCAGTAGTACAGTAGCCCTTCGGTTGCTCTGCATGCGCATGCGCACTGCCTGCTATTGAGCCTGGCGACTCCTCTGCCTCTGCTCGTCGCACAGAGCGGTTGCGGGCTTCGGCGGAGGCGTTGCGGACGCTCTCCTGGAGGGCCTCGACTCAAGAATGCAAGGCCAGACCCAGATCGGAACTTCGGCCTTGGCCCGGTTCCTGCCTGGATCCGTTTCTTTGCTTCCTCCACACGGCGCTCGGCCGCACTCCGTGCAGAACGCGATTTCTTGACGGCATCCTTCCGGCAGCTCGCTATACACACCCGTACAGACATCGAAGCCGCAAGAGTTGTGCCCATACGGCCCATACTGTAAGGTAGGGAACGCACCTTGGCCTCGACAATCCTGGGAGCATCGCCTTCTTTCTCCTGCATTCAGGCTCGCGAGCTCTCGTCCGGCATGTGCCGCGCACAGACTCAGATCGCTGTTGATCTTGATGTTGCGTCTTGCCGTTCAACCCTTGAGCAAGGACCTGCATCCTCCGCTCGGCTGCTACGCGACTCTTGGATGCCTTGCATTTCGGCTCTGGCATGTTCTCACACCTCTGGAAGCGGCTGGAGGCCTGTAGCGCAGCTGCCTCTTGCTCCGCTGCCTCCCTGCTAGAGACCTGCTGGCCAGTCTGGCCGCAACAAACCCCGAGTGCTCCAACATCACAACGATTTCGTGCATAGAGGTTAATAGGCTAACATACTCTGAAGATTGGCCGGATCGGCCTGTAACGTGAACAAACGCCACGTCAACGGTAGTAAGTTACTGACTCGCTACACTACGATCGCACACGCCTCGTAGCTCTGGTCCAGCTTTTCCAAGGTTTCAGTCGAGGTTCTCTTTTCCTCGGCTCTTAAGACTTGGAAGACAACATCGGGGGTAGAGGCTGCTGCTTTGATCGCTTTTACGTAGCGGCCTCGCTGCCCAGGATCAGTGGCGATTTTGGTGGCCTTCTTCTCGAGCCCACGAGCTCGCTGGAAGGAGGTCTTCTCGGCGGCATCCTGTGCTGAGCCGCTGAGCACTGAGGACTTTCTGTTGAGGAAGAAATGGCGGAAAGGTGTTGCGGATCTACTGATCTACCCCTTGTATGACAGTGCATATCCTTGAAGGAAGCTTTTCCCTCTGTTGATGTGCCCCACTCCGGTCTCGCAGTCCTTCAGCGTGGCCAGGATTTGCGCCGTCTCTTTCTCCTTGCGAATATCCTCCTCAGTCGCTCGCAAGGCTGACTATCCTGCGTAACTTCAAGCCCGCTCCCGCCACGTGCCAGATGCAGTCACAAGGCCAACCTTTGTTGAAGCGTTGCGATCTCAGCCTCGATTGCCTCAAGCCAATCGCGCGAAGAATCCGGAAAGCTTACGTACAGCGTGCAAGAGAACCTAGGAAGCTGTGTTGCCACCCAGAATTGTACAGGGCAGTGCCGGAAATACCCTGGTAGTGCCTTCTCCTCCGTAGTCTTTGCCTCCAGGGTCTGCCTTGGCGGGGCTCCGGGCACCAGCCTACCCAAACAACACCGCCTTTGTTTTGGCTTCACAGAGCCACTCCGTTCCGCCTGGAGCTCTAAGAGCAACTGCAGCCCAGTTTCTGTGCCTTTTCTCTCTCCTTACCATATTCCAATGCCTGCAGTGTGAAAACTGTCGCCTTCAAACTTCAGCATTCTGCGGCAGCATCCACACAGTCAGACTACTACAGATGAAGATGGCGGCAACCCACCCAGGAAACTTGGGTGCCTTGGCCATCTCCATGGCACATTCCTGCGGTGGACACTCAACTCTCTTACTACACCCGCTTGTTCATGCGAGGCGATCGTCGCATACTTGTAACCGGGCATAGTTACAAGTGGGACATGAGCGTGGCGTAGGAAGCCAATCTTCGGTCGATCTAGGGTTTCAGCTGGAAGTGTTTTTCCATCTCCATGTCGGGACATTCTGTGTCTCCAAACCCAGTATCAACTCTGGAGCGGAATCCTTGTATGCTGCGCTTTCTGCTTTCTCTTTCTCTTCGATCATCTTCCGCAATGCCTTCTGCATGCACACAATCCGCAGGTCAAACCCTTTCAGCCATCCAATCATTTGTGTAAGATGCGATGAAGGTGACTTGAAGTGTCTGCGAAATCCTACGTACAAGCAAGTCAGGATAAGTCTTTGTCTCGGACAGCCTAAGCTTGGAGGAGGCGCAATGATATCCTGAAAACAAGACCCGAACACTGAGACAAAAAGACAGCAAGAACTGAGCTGATCGCTTCAACTTCTTGCACTCTCGGCCTCTTGTTCCGTGGCATAGACTTCCAGCTTCTTCTTTGCTGATTTCGCCTCCCGTCGTATCTCAACCCCAGAACGCAGGGCGACTGTAATGACTCTGGGAGCCCCATAAAGTGAGAGGCTTTAGGCGCCGCCTTCTCGAGGGCCAACTTCTCCGCTCGGCTCATCGAGTCCACCGTCTTCTCAGCGGACTCCTCGGCTCTGGCAGCTGCAGTTAACACAAGCTCAGGCTCTCCCTCCCTTCACAAAACGCCCGGCCCGTGGCGTCGTCTTTTGCGTCCGGGAGGCTTTCTCACTCGTGAGGATTTCGGTGGCTTTTTCCTGGCAGTCACTCCGACGCATGCGCTGAGCGAACCGGCCCACATGTCGAACACACCAAAACTGACCCAGACCTCCACGGACAAGCGCTCGTTAGCGTCAAGCTCGGCGATGCGTGCGTCGGAAGCCTCCAGGGAAATTCACGGCCACTGACAAGCTCTCGCAATCCCCGCAAGTGTCGCGAGGCCTTCTTCTCCAAAGCCTCAAGCTGAGATTCCGCCTGCCCAGTCAGCTGTGTCTGGTCTGTCGAACGAACCTACCACAAAAGAGCATTGCAGCTATCGTCAGTCTTCCATGTGAGTGGCCTCGCTCATGTCTTTGCCCTCCTTCAGACTTTTGACTTTCTTCTTCGCAGAGTCCTCGTCTTCGCCCTCGGGGAGAGAACCGTTCAAAATGACAAGTTCAGGCTCTGTGGCTAAGTATCAGCTTGTTGTCTTGCCCCGCCTTCTCTGCCACGCTTCGCTCAGCAGCCCGAATTTCGAAGTCGATCCTGAGGGTCCCAAAAGGAGCAAGGGCGCTGAGAGGAGCCCTCATGGTCACGTAAAGTCTCATAGGCTATGGCTTGTTCTTGTCTCCAATGAACTTTGGGCCATGACGTGTCTCCGGAATTCAGTAGCCTGGCCCGAAATATCCCAAAGACAAGACCACGAGAGGTTTCGCGGCTTCACATCCGAGGCTCTTCTCCAGGGATGCCCGCGCTTTCTCAAACTTCAAGTGCCTCGGAGACCAGAGACCAACTGGACTTGCTGCCTGGATCCCGTTCACGTCGGGAACGTTAGGTCCGTTAGGTTAGGAATGGTTATGGCAGAAGGAACTCAGAGATGGCTCAGCGGTCAGATTGGACTGAAGGCCAACTGTGTGACTGCCGGCAAACTGGCCGAGTCGACACACCAGTTTGTTACAAGCACTGACAAGATGAATCAAAGAAACCAAGCTGCACTCCCCGCCATGCGGCAGCCTGACAGAAGACTGCACTTGCTGGCACTGTTGCAATCCAGGCCCTGTTTGCAACCAGCCGTCTGAACAACTCCTACCTACCACCCGGGTGGTGCACAACTTGCAGACGCCCCGAGGTGACATGCAAACCGCATGTGCCTTAGGCCCTTCCTACCAAATCATCTGCCACGCCTTGTGCGTGGCGAACTTTTCTGCGGCCGACTTCTCTTCCCTGCGCTTCGCCTTCTCTGCCTTTTCCCGAGCCTCCTGCGTCTTGAACTTTGCTTGGATGCGTGTGAGATGGAAATCGTGCTTCCCACACCGAACCATGAGACTCTGGCAGAACAAGAACCCGACAACTGAGGGCCTGCGCATGGATGAGCATTACAAGCCCGCCCTCGCGGCCCCCATCGTGTCTCATGCAGATCTGCTGGCACAAGCCACTTCAGGATGGAAAAATGCTCCAGGTCCTTCTCTTCGTCCGTCCTCGCTTTGTCTTTCTCCAGGGGTTCCGACGAAGCTCCTGCAACTGCGTCTGACTCCTGACATAAAACCCCTGAGACAGGTGCGCTACCGTCCTTCTTCTGGCTGGACTGAACTCCTTACGTCAAGACTTGTTCCAGCAACGTCTCCACATGGCCACCCAAGCAACCAGAGGCACTTACAAGGACAGCCCTTGCTCCAATCCAACGACTCCAAGGCACTGGGTGCTTTGCCTGGCCTCTCAGCGCTTGCATACAGGTGAATGGAAACTGGCCGCTGTGATCAGACTCTGGTTCTCGGTTCTCAATGCTCACTGCATCTCACTGCCGTTGACACTCCAAGCTGGGCACAATCCACAGAGTTTACGCAAAAGAGTCGGGGGTTTCTGTTTCGACGGCGGCCCTCACGGGCGCACAACGCGCACAACCGGAGGCATTCTGCCGACGGAAACAGAGACGAAAACAGTCCGGGATGCGGCCGAGGTTGCTTCTGGCTCTCGGTGATCAGAAGGCCCGGCAGACTAGAGAACGAAGAATGATTCTCATTAAAAATCCAGCGCCAGGACGGCACTCAACAAAGTTCCTCAAGAGCTCCAGGGAGGGCTGGAGCATCTGGTGCCGGCGATGTCGGGGGCGTTTCAGGCTGTCTTGCGGCGACCATCTGACGGCGACGCGGTTCTGAAAGGTGTATGCTCGGCTTCGGCTGTAAGCGACGCCTTTGGGCCTCTCTTAGAATACCTCGGTACACGGCGATGCGGACACAGTACCGCCGAACCATTCTTTTAAGTTGAGGGCAAGAAAACCTCTTCCTTTCTATAACACTCATGAAGTCCTCTCTGTTCAGCGAGAGCGTCTCGAGGTATGTTACGGCATAGCCTGCCACCGGTAGAATCAGTGAGGTGTCCTCGAGGACAAAATCCTCACCCCAAACCTCACCTTCAGATCGAAGCTTGCTGTTCAAGACCACGAGTCCCTTAGACAGGATATAGAGAACTTGCACATTGTCGAATGTTTCCTGCTGTGCAAAAGCGCCCAGCCTTAAGCACTTTGCAATCTCTGCCATGCATGCCTCATAAGGAGCTACGTACGAGCCGATCTGCACTTGCTCTCTGATGTAGAACATGAACTTGCGCAGGAATGTCACCTTCTGCAGCCACCGATGGTTCACTGCAATGCAAAAGGTAGACTGGAGCTGCGGGCTCATCCTCGACATCAGGGACTGCCGTTCGAGCGTAAGCGCCTGATGTCTGTTCTGGAGAAAGTATCGGCGTAGGCGACACTGAAGGTCAAAGCCGAGCCCTTGTCTTTTCATCATTGAGTTCAAGTGGTGCATCGTTCTCCGGAAGTCCTGCCCCTCCGAGGTCATGTCAGCTACAATGGCACCCACTTCTCCAATGATATATGCCCAAGCCAGGCCAGAAAACAGAACGATAGCAGTGCAGATCATGCGCTCCAGATTGTTTTGAGGACTAATGTCGCCGTAGCCAACTGAAGTGATTGTATAGCTGCCTCACATGATTCAACATCGAAGCCCAAGCTTTTGGGATTCTCACATTCTGAAGCTACGCAGACAAGCCAGGAGGCATACACCCCGCTAGAAGTCGTTTCGGATCCGAGCTGCAGAAGTAGAAAGCTGCTACGTAAATCTGGAAAGGCGAAGCTTCAGCGGAACCTGCTGGGCCTGTCTGCACCAAGTCAATCCAGCGAGGTGAACTGGAATTCTCCAACGTCAAGGCCATGGCCCACAAACCTCAGTGGCAGTTTGCAAAACAGCTTGCAGCAAGCCTCGCGCCTCAGGGCCTAGCGTGCCTAGCACGTGGCAAGAGAGCAGGCGGCAAAAGATGCCAGATGCCGCCTTGTGACATGCCAGGCCGTGGCAAGTGAGTGAAGCCGAGAATCAAAACGAAGCGGATCAAGGCAAACTGCTGGTAGGGGATTGAGAGGGGCACCTCCATCGCCTGGAGGGCCCTGGATGTCTTCATAAGCCGCAGGAGCCTAGGTCTTAAATCGTTCCCAAGACACATGAGGTTTTAGGTAAGCCGGTAAGCCAGCAGCAGCCGACTGAAAAACAGGACGGAACACCCCACACCCACCCCAACTCCAACCCCACCCGGGAAAGACTAATTCCTCTCGGCTGGCGCTGGCGCTGGGCCAGGGAGGAGGGGAGACTTGGCCAAAATTCGCGATTTGGGCTGGCGGGTGCTGGCGCGCTGGCGGTGGCGTGGCGCTGGTGCTGGGGAAGCTTAGGCTTGAATGCTGGGACAGGGGTAGCGCTGGTGCTGGCACTGGTGCCGGCGCTAGCGCTATAGCGCCGGCTGTGGCGCTGGCGAAGGCTATATCATAGAGCCCCATCCCCCTCCCCCATGCTACCCCACGTAATGACATAACAACGCAATTCCTCTGCTTATACTTCCCACACCCACATCCGTAACATGTACTGAAGGCAGGCGGCTTCATCAGGCGTAGGGCACGAATTACTTTCAAGGCCTGCAACTCTCGGAGTTCGTTTGCCTCCAGGGCCAGCGTCAAAACATCGAAGGGCAGGATGCTCAAAATGTCCAGGCCAAACCAAGACTTCAGGTAGCGGCTCCGAATTTTTGATGCTTGAATCTCCCAGGTGATTCCTTGTGGTGTGGTTACTGGGTATGCCGTGATGAATTGTAAGAAGAGGTCTACTGCGAAAACGGCGTCCACGAAGATGCCCACAAGAAAGATCCAGTCAAACTCTGGCTCTAGAAGGGCGACTTGAACCGGAGTCACCAGAGCAACAAAGAGCAGACAACAGGCCACAAGAGCCTGCCACCTGCCTGCAAACTTACTCTGATCCGGGTTAATTACGTACCATGGCTTCTTCTGCAGACGGCAGCTCTTGGTGGCCCGAACAACCCTGAAGTGGGTCCGTTCTGACCGTCCTCTTTGTGCCGAAGCTGCGGAGCCCATCGACGACTGTGTCACGAAAGACTTGATCGAACGTGTTACGTCATCGACCGCATCGCTGTTCAGGTCTTCTTCGTCCGCCGCCACGGACGGCAGTGATGGGAGTGCTTTCGCAAGAACCCACGAGCTTTCCAGATGAGAGACCTGCTCCTCTGAACGAGTGTATGGAGAGCATGGAAGTGATGTCGGCTTTGGTGGGACTGTCGCAGCCCTTCCAAAGGCCGCGTCTGCTGAATCGGCTCCGAGGCCCTCTGCGAGCCGTTCCAGTTTCTGCAACTTGGCGAATTCTGTTTCGAGCACATCGGCTAACTCTTGTAAGAGACTTCGCCAAGGCTCCATGTGGCATTCACAACTATCTACTCTAAAAGACTATACATGCAAAACTGCAGCGCCTGTCCGCCTCCAGCTGCACAGGCTCACAAGCATTGGGCCAGGCAAAAGGCAGCAGCCGGCACGAAAGCTAGTCGAAGGTACGTATGCCGAAGGCCAAAGGTACTAACCGCAACAAAAGTTAATCTTGGGATGCAGAATTTACCGCAGAGCACAGTACCTTGTCCTGACTTCCGGTCGCGCCACTGTCTGCTGCATCCTGGCGATTCGAGCGCATTCTGCCGAGGACCATGGCACTGCATGTTGCCCACGGTACTAGTAGAAGACAGTTGATGACGCTGACGGCACAGCTGCAGGCAGCCTCTGTCTTGCATGCAAGCGATGTAGATTCCGCGGTCTTCGCCTGCACAGGGAACCGGCTCGCCGTCTCTCGCCTTTTGCCTGCCGCACCTTCTTTAAGGATGGCTCCTTGCAAGCAGCCTCCTCGGCCTGTCGGAGTAAGCACGGAATAGTGCAAGAAGGAGATCTTCAGGCTTACAATCTGCATTGAACAAGCAAATGTGCACATTGCCGCACGTTTACTGAGAGGCTCCTGCGACGACGTCGACTTCTCCACTGGCTGCGCGGCCTGGGTACAAATCGGGCGGAGGACCTGGCACCTTTACATCCACATGCATGGCACTCACTTCTGCTTCGCCTTCTCGCCATCTGATGGTTTGGCCTAGTCCAGCAAGCAAGGCTTTTCAAATTGGCAGTTGGCTCGGAGAGTGCACAGCGACTCCGCCTTCGACTCCTCCACTGCTTTGGGTGGCTGAGCCTGCGAAAGGTTCGTGTTGACTAATCCACTAAGCTTCCTTGGCCAGCTTCCTTGGCTTTCGTCCGCAGCGCAGGGGAAGGCTCCGTCCTGCACAGCACAAGCCGTGAGCACCGTGAGGCCCTTTTCCTCCCGTCGGCCATGGCCCGGGCCTTGTTCCAGAAGTGGAAGTGCCAGGATCACTAAGCGAAGCCTGCCCGGCAGCGCTTCAACTGGTTTCAGATGGCTTCGAGGTATCCCTGACCTGAAGTACGAGGTGGAATGCAGATTCACCTATCAATTGTGGGTGAGCCTTACCTGCCATCATGGCGGTTCGAGTCGGCTAGTAATTAACTTGTTTGTTCAGGAAGCGGGCGCGGAACACACGGAATTTCCACTGCCAAGCCAGGATCAACAACTTAGCATCTGATTCTGAAACTAAAAGAATCCAACCGCCACCAATTTGATCAAATTGATCCATGTCTACCCCTCTCTGCCTTTGGGGTGAGACGCACTGTTGTTCGATACGGTGAGATCCTGGCCCAGGAAAAGGACCGCTTCCGGCCATCCTGCAAGGGAACAAGGGCCAAAGTCGCAGCTCCAATCGTTGAGAGTGCCAAGGGACAGTGAGAGCGGGGAGGGGTGGTGCAGCAACCCTCCTCCTCCTCCTCCTTTGAGCATTCAGGCTGAGGCTCTGAGATGCGCATTGAGGCATTGAAACATGCGACTTACAGAAGTTTATCTATACACCCACATGCACACCGATCGCTCCTTTGCCACCCAGAGAACCGAGTCAGGTGCCGACTCTTGGCTGCCAGATCCCAGCTGCAGCTTGAAGCCTTGGATTTGGGTGTCTCGGCTCTGCCTCCTGGTGACTTATGTAGACCGATGGCAAAGCTGCTTGCCCAAGCTGCCTTTCCCCCAGACCACACTCTCGGAATTGTCACGTCCAACTTCCAAACCTCGGGCTGTTTTCGGAATGACAGCGCAAGCTTTTCGGGTTGGCCAACTTCTGCTCACACGCCCAGCCGGTTCACAAGAGAGACGCAACGTCTAGCCCTTTTCGGAAATGTGAGTCTGCCCACTGCCCAGGTGCGGATGAGGCCAGGCGTGCTTCTGACAACACCATCAGGCCTCCAGGTGAAGCTGTGATTCCCGTCCCTTTCGCTTTGCTTCTGACCCCATCATCCCAACCAAAGCCCCACATCCCTGCCTAGCTTTAACAGGCATACGACATACGGGACCTTTCAGAACAGCAACATCTCGAAGCACAGTCCAGCTTCGATCTCGGAGGCATGCAGAACTGCAGCAACAAACATCTTGCGTGCCCAACATCAATTTGCGCGTTTGAGCTTGGTGCAACCTGCAAGGCACCACCCGAAGGCATTGTCAAGATGTAATCGGACTTGATGCGCCGTCCCGGGCTTTTCAGTCGGGGGAAGCTGGCTCTTTTCGCTGCCAGCAGGGTGTAGTATGACGAGTGTGCCTACCAGCCTACCATATACCGGTACCATTTCCCCACACGTGTCGTTGCATTAAGTCACTATGTTGCTAAGACTTGCTCACACCCCACGCGAACCGTCGGAAGCGCCTGAATGTCGTGACGTTCAAACTTCGGCCTCGGCAGCCGTGCTGGTCTCGGGGAAGGAGTCACCGCATACTTGGATCTTGACTGATTGCACGCTGACAATTGCAGCTAGAAGCCTTGTGACCTGGGACACCAACCGAAATCCTCATGCTCGGGTGTAATCGCACTCAGTTGGCAAATGTCAGAGTCCAGGGCCTGGCGCTTGCAACTCAAGCTCGTAGCGCGAGCCCTGGTCATCCCTCCACACACCTTGAGCAGGCGAAACTGCAAATTGAGTTACTGTGTCTGGAACGAAATACAAATCGGGTAACGAGCAGCGCACCCTATCATTTATCAGGAAGCTTCACCAAGCTAGGCTTTACCTGTGTCTATGTGGCGACATGCCAAGCCGGGATGTACCTGCCTTGAGTCAATGCAAATTGGCCACTGGTTCTTTTAGTTTGCGGAAGTCGGAGTGGCAAAGCCATGCGGGACGGGGCAGAGTCACTAAACACAGCAAAGATCCGGGAAGAATTACGGATTGGCACTGCGTGAACTAGGGGCTTGGCTGGTCCCCGGTTTACCGAGGTTGAGGACCACATTATGGCACGGACCTGTGGGTGATAGGGAACCATTGAGGCCTGGGCAAGGCCATTCGTCTGTCTATGCCTCTTACTTCTGGCGAGGGGTGCGGCGGGGGCCCCTGGACGTGTTGGGGCAGCCCTTGGCCAAACCTTCAACATCCTAGCTGAAGTTCGCCCGAAAGCAACCGAAAGAGGTGATATCTAAAATCTAGCTGAGTCTAACTCTGTCGCTCTCGCCCTCTCTTGTCTCTTGCCGGTCAGAGACCGGACGCAACCACACCGCTGATCTCTACCTCGGTGCCTCTGTGCCTGGAAACCAACAGGTTGACTCTGTCCGGCACGGCACCGACCAATGCGTTGAGCGCATTGCTGCCCAATGAAGCATCACCTGAGTCTCTGCCACGGCTCTTGAAGTTTGCCTCTGACGATTGAGGCTATTTCTGTTTAGATCAATCAGCATCGGTCTCGGTACATACCTGGCGGACCACCGACATGAAAGACCTGCAGGGCCATGGCTTACACAAAGCCTGCCAAAGCCCTGTCAAAGTCCTTCCGTCGGACGGTTCTTGCACAGGTAGACAAGTCTGAATCAAGCAAGCAGTAGCAGGGCTGATTATTCGCATCTCGCAGCCCGAGCAATGCAAGACTGTGCTTGGAGCAAAGAAGAGGATGTCGGACAGGAACGCTTGCTATCACGAATATGGAGAGTAGTTGGACGAACGTCATCCCTCGGCCCGAAGAGACCGAAGGGGGATCTCCGCAAATCTGATGGCTTTGGACATGTTTTGGAAGAACGATGCCTACCAGGTGCTACGCTGAAAACAGAGAGGAGGTGTGTGACTACTCGTTTGGGGAGGTGTGCGGAGACTGGGCAGCAAACAATAATTACAGGGCTTCAGGGACACGCCAGCCACCCTGTTAGCTCTGCGGCACATCAAACCCTCTCCATAGCTCTCCTAATCCCCGCTGTGCTGATCGTGACAACCCTCCCTCACACCACAACAGAGAGCACTGGGATTTGCCGGATTTAAGAACGAAAAACACACACGGACACAGAGAGAGAGAGAGAGTTGGGCCACTGAATGTCACAGCTGAGCTCCCGAGCCCATGGAGCCAGCCGCTGAGTTTCCCATGCGAGCATTGGGCCAGCCGCCAACATGGCTGCATACCGTCACATGCCCCGGTGACGGATAGTCTGCTTTGCGGTGTCCATGTTGTGCTGTGGTCTCCACACCGACAAGGCTTGCCGGAATACTCAGTGACTGAGTCACAGTGTGATGTGCTGAGGCTTGTGCATGTATAATTAAGTTACGTAGTCATGCGCGCAAAAGCTCAGTTGGACGGCTTACAGCGACTGTCAGCTTGTTTCGTGCCGGAAATTTGGAGGTGCCAGTTGTAACTGTGGCAGCACCCCGAACCACACCTAGACATGTACGAGCAATCATGAGACGGCTGCAGCCTACGAGTTTACTGAGGCATGCATGTAGAAGCGCGTCCTGCCGATTCTGCCAATTTCGCTCTCGACGAAGACAATCTCTAAAATTACATGCCATCACGGCCAGTACGCCTGGATGATTTTGCCAGGCTGCTTAGTTGGACAAGACAAGGAAGCACCACAAAGCCCTGTAACCCCACCTTGACTATACATGTGCAAAGAGACCCACAAAGCTACGAACACACACACACACAGAGTCACACACACACACACGCACACACACACACACACACATACATACATATGCGCGCGCGCACGCAAGCACGCAGATTACAACGTGAATGACAGAACAAGGCCTGCCGGGTGCTGTGATCAGTGGGAGGTACCCTGCCGGGCCTCCGCTTCGCCGTTCTGGGCTTGCTCCTCCCGGCGCTGGC